AATTTCATTTTATTAGATAGTGCCCAATGTTCAAGTTTGTCAAGATCCTTCTGTATCTTAAGCCTGTCTTCTTGTGGTCTCAAAATTATAAAATGACAATGTCAACAGCATATATGGAAAATTTGTATAAGATGTTTTACAGGTGGCATTTACCCCTGACGAGAATAGCAAGAATGTTCAAGAACAAATCCGAAAAGTGTTGGAAATGTCATCAGACACTGGGTTCATATTAACATATGTGGTGGACTTGCATAGAAGCTAAAAGATATTGGACTAAAATTCACACGTGGCTGGAGAAAATGACACAAAAACACATAGACTTCAAACCAGAGATTTTTTTATTGGGAATTATACCAGAAATATACAATAGAGATTTGAAATATTTGATTGTAAATGTTTTAACAGCAGCTAGAATTGTTTTTCCAAAAATGGAAGAATGAGAAAATACCAATGCAGGAGGAAGTTATTCGAAAAATAATGGAATGTGCTGAAATGAGCAAACTGACATTTGAAATTAGAGAACAAGAAGATGAACAATTTTACAAGGTATGGGATTTATTTTATCAATGGTTAGATAAAAAATTATGGTAAGGGAAAATGTTGGAGAACTTCTTATATAATTAAGAACAATAGAATGATATATGTGATACCACAAAGGTTTAGTATTGTTAAATAGATTAACATGAGGCAATGGAATTATGTTGTATGTATGATTTTAATATCTAGAATTTTTTGTTTAAAATGATGGAACAACAATTGGAGCTGAACAATTGATGCATAATGATGCTATATCTATGAATCCAATACCTAGAATATTTTGTTTAAAATGAAGGAAGAACAATTACAATGGAATAATTGATATACAATGTATTTTTTTTACTCTATGGACAATTGGTGATTTGATATATAATTGTAAGTGACGACAATGGAAAAGATGCACAAAAATTTGTAACCAAACGACACGCTATATGAAACAGTTGAAGGTTGTATGTTTTTATGTTTTGTTTGTTTTTTGTTTTTTAAAAAAATTAAAACAACAACAATAAAACAGCTACTTACAGAGGAAATATGTCTTCAACATTACTGACCACCTTACACACACACTTCCAGCCCTTCTGCCTCTTCCCTCTTCCTGGATTCACTCAGACATTTTTAAAACTCACAGCCTGTGTACATGCACGCACTCTTCCACTCTTAAAAACATCTGAGAGAATCCAGGAAGAGGGAAGAGGCAGAGGGGCTGGAANACTCAATCATTTTAAGTAAAACTATTTAAAAAAATTCTATGCACAATAAATAAAATATTATTTTAAAATACATTAAAAAAATAAAAGAAAAAAACCTGGATCACTTACCAGCAGGCACAATCAGCAGCACTCCGATGTGATGGATCCAACTCTGATGCGATGGATGGAAGCAACAGGGAGCAGGCAGGCCTTCCCTTGCAAAAACTAGGCCGCCATCGCCA